GACAATGGGAATGTTTCTTTCTTTGCATTATTACTATTACTACTGCCTAATATTTCGTTGCAGCAATTGTCTGATTTCTTTTCTGAATGTATTTATCTTTTTTCGTTCTTTATGAGGTTTTTGTTCTCAGTCTTTATGTTAAATATTATTATTGTCATTAAACTTAGCCTTTTAATTCTGTGAAGGCAAAAGTGGAAACCTACATACACATGTATATGTACGAAAAAGAAATTAAAAATAAAAACAAAACAAAACAAAACAAATTTTAAATAGTTAATGTTTGAATAAACTTGTATCATTTTATAACAATTCACTATAAGAATTACCTGATAATGAAGACAAGATGACTTGGAGACATTTTGATTGAGTAAAATATTTTTTTCCTTACTCCAATGGTTGGTTGATAACCTGTGTATGGCAAAATTACTGGATTCATTTAGCAAAAAGTCAGACTTTGATCTCTGCATTTAATGGCCCTGTTACTTAAAAAAATATATAAAAAACAACAAACCCTAAATGTCCAAAGAACAAAACAGAGAAACCAGAATAATAACTCTCTAGGGCTTAGAGTTTTTTAAATGTATAAAATGAGATAACTTTTTGATGCATCCATATTAGGATGATTTTTAAAGATTTATAAATATAAGCTTATTATCATAGTAAAGCATTGGTATTGCAGTTTTGCATTATTTTTCTGTGATTGTATTATTCAGGGGCTGATTATTACATGCTAATTGTCTGTTCTTCCTGCTCCCTGCTTTTGTTCATGGAATGATTTGTCCTCCTCCTCCCGAGGTTGGGTAGAAGGAACGGATCAGTGCTTGAAACCCTTTTAAAATTGTGTTGCTGGTCCAGTTGTGAATTTCGTTACTCTTTTCATCTGTTACCAGAATTAAGCACTTACTGTGATCGAATTTAGATTTTTTATCTTTATTATTATTAATTTTAGTACGCTTTGCAATAAGTTAAGTATTTTTGAAAGGATACTTCTAATGGGAATTCATGTGATCTCTCAAGAAAGAAATGAATAGCAGACCTCTTACTTGTAATGTCTTATATGTAAACTATTAACAAGGTTCATTTTCATAACTGTTTTTCTGATTATCAAGGCAACAGTATGTTACAGGAAATTTGGAAAAGCAAAATAAACAAATACTTAACTAAATAGTAATCGTCTGTTTTTCTATCTCCCAAAGGCAAACTTATCTTTACCTTGCCGTGTGTATTCTTCCAGTTTTCAGAGATATATTCCCATATATATTTTTTAATAAATTGGATCATTATTTTGTAATGTAATTTTATAACAGTAATGTACCTCTGAGCCCCAATATCTTTGTTAAATAAAGATAAAATATGAAAATAGGGGGTTTTTGTGAGTAACAAATTGGATAATCTTTACATTAACAGTGCCTGGCACAATTACTGTGTGCTCAGTAATGGAAGCTAATAGTAATAATGGTAAGAAGACATTCCTGAAAGTATAATTTCTAGGGCAAAGATATGAATATTTTCAAGGTTGTTAGTAGACATTGCTAAATTTTTCTCAAACTAGGCTACCAATTTTCTCCTACCAGTGACATGCGGGAGTGCTTTTTGCTTTGCAAAGTAATGAACTGTGGACATCATAATTTTTAGACCTTTGCCAATTTGATGGCAAAAATTGATATTTTGTGTTAAGAAATTTCCATTTTGAAGGACTATTAAAGTGCGTAGCATTTTTTTCATTTGTTTGTTGACCCTTTGTGTTTCTTGGTGAATTTCCTATTCATGCCTTTGAAGAAAGCTAAGGTTTAAGAGTTGCTAATAAAATTATACTTTTATCTAAGCTGAGTTAATTGGATGATGCTGTATCTTATTTAAAATTAAAATTTCTATAAGGCATACCTTTCACTTTTGATAAATAAAAGATTGCCATATAAATACTCCCATTTTAGGATGGACATTAGAGAAAGTTCTAACAATAATTCACAGAGACTTGTTCACATCTTGCTTTCTGATTTTCTACTTTTGTTTTCTTTTCAGAAAAGTGCAGGTCGACCACATATAATCCAGAAAACCTTGGCGAGACAGTATTCTAAGCAAGTGAAGAATCTCAGTAGGTTTAAATTAAGATAGCTGTTATATTTTATATGTAATGGGAACTATAACTGGTGGAACTGGGTAGACATGGGACTGGGGAGGTGGAATTGGCGTGAGATCTGAGGTGAGCAGTGTGGGTAGACATTGGAGTGAACTGTGGCTTTTACGTAATGAGGCTTGGAGAGTCATTTCCAACAGAAAAATGGAAACTTGAAGCCCAAGGGTAAAGCTGCCTTGGGAAAGAGAAGAGTGGGGCTAAATTTAGTAGAGTGATTTATAGTGAGGTTCATCCTTAAATTGTCCTGGCAGTTTGATGCTCTGTAGCCTACTTGGATTGCCTCCTTCTTATGCTCTGCTCCTGAGGCATCTCAAGCAGGCTGATGTAGGTATAAGCTTCTTAGGGATTGGTGGGGTCTATGATGTTGTTGCTGCATATTAATGTCAAATGTCTTTAATAATTTATGCAAAAGATGATGGCACGTATTATTTTTAATTCTAAAATGAATTAAACACAGTGGCATTCTCTCACATTTTCAGATATTGTCAGGTAGTTATAGGTCGAATATGTATCTTCTAATGAACCTTGAACAACTGGTCGTGGTTTCGTGATGTTTGGAAGAAAAGTACACATTTGAGCTATCTTTGTGACCATGAGAGTGTGAAGTGTTTAATGATCAGTGTCCTTTTGGTTTTTTCCTTCATTTATCTTGATTTTAAGATACTATCAGTGCCATTGTTCCTTCACATAATATTTTAAAAACATACTGTGATTGCAATAGTGTCAAGCACAAATTTTGGTGTTCATTTTCTTTTACACAGCTGCAGAAGGCAGTGACCAGTGGCCATTTCTGTCTGAATTACAGTGGTTGAAAAGAAGAAAGAGAGCAGTGAATGTGAGTGTGCCATTGAGCTTCAGATGGGGCTGTTTTACTCAATTAAATTGTCTGAGGGTGGTGCTTGTGGCTCAAAGAGTGGGGCGCTGGCCCCATATGCCGGAGGTGGTGGGTTCAAACCCAGCCCCACCAAAAACTGCAAAAAAAAAAAAAAAAGTTGTGTGCCTATCATCACACTGCGTCTAAGTATATACCAAACAGTTTAGATTTGAGGAACTTTTGCTTAAAAACAGAAACAGCCACAAAACCCCTTATGAATTGAACCTCATCAACATACGGCTTAAAAAGGGTTCATTCCAACAAATGAACTCTGATGCCATATAAAGAGTGTATTGTCTCAGCTTAGCTTTATTTTCAAAATGCCTTCGTATGAAAATTGCAGTGTATTTTTTTTCTATTTAAAGTGCAACAGGTCCCCTCCCTCCCCCATGGCTCATATAACATCACATAAAATGTTTCTGCTAACAACAACAACAAAGTAGAGTCAGGTTTTGAAATGTTGGCTGATCATGCTTATTTTTATTTCTTTCAAGTTAAAAACTCCATTACACCAAACTTTGAAGCTGGATGTGCTTTTCAGAAGAGAATGCATTTATCTGATCATTAGTGATACGAATTATATCATTGCAATTATATTATCAACTACTGTCGTACACCTCACATGTATTGCTAAATGTATAGGGGCTTTGTAAGTGAAATTTATGTTTCTAGTCTTTTTCATAGTAGATTAGGAAGCTTAATGATGGGGACTGTTTAGTAATTACATGGTGAATGCTGTGTAACTCAGAATTAATCCCACAGTTTATGGATTACATAGTAATTTACTAGATAACTTAATGAGTAATTATTGTAGAAACTACACATTTTAAATAATGTTTTGCTGAATGTGTTCTTTTGTGTGTGTGAAAAAATTAGGCTACCAACCACGAAAAACTTAAGTTCGGGTTAAATCATCCTCTATTTCATGAACTTCTTTTTATGGTGATTGTGGATACATTTGTGGTGAGGGGATACTTGGAGATCCCTGTTTGCTTACTCTTAAACATGTGCGTGGTACTAGTAAGTTTAATTAGGCTGCTGTTCATTCCACTACAGTCCACCTGTATCAAATAGAAAGTGTTCAATGACTATGTACATAGAGAAGACCCACCATTATTAATTTTCCAACTGTTATCAATAAATAGAAGCACAAATGAATGCTAAAATACTTAATACTCTTAAAGGATTATCTAATAATTCTTAAAATTTAGAAGACTTTAGAATATAATAATTGGCAGTGCTTTACAAGCCTGGTTAAAAATTGGTACATTATTTTTAGAATTTCACTCCAGCAAATTAATGTTTTTATTTGACTCCACCTGTTACAGGTATATACCTGGAAGTTTTATAGTTTATACAGTTCTTATTGAATGAATTTTATGTAGATTTTCATTTAAATTTTCAGTAAATAGAATGTTTATCACATTTTAACGTGAAAGAAATTGGAGTTTACTTTTTTTTAACAGAATTATTCTGTGAATTTTTCTCCAGAATATTTTTACACATGAAAACAGCATGAACTCTTGATGAGCATGTTAATAATAATTAAATACCGTTCTTTTCTGAATACTGAATGTTTACCTACTTTTATTCTAGCAAATATTTTCACTAAAATGTCATGAAAGCAAAATTTAAGTAAAAGAGTACAGACTAAACATGGGTTTCTGAAGTCCCTAAAATCTTGCAATAACCAGCTATTGATATGTTGATAACATATTGGTTAAGCAAAACACAAAGCTGGAGGCATCACATTACCAGACTCAGCTTTGTTTTTTCATATCTCTTTATCTTATTTACACTTTTACTATGTGTTGATTAGAATTACAGCATCTGAGACCTGGAGGGAATCTTATAAATTATGTAGGAAAATATTTTAGACGTATTGATCTTAATTTTTACAGATAAGAATAATCTTATCTTCTATAATCTTAAAGAATTTCTTTTCTAATCTTAAAATATTACAGACGCACAAATGTTTTTGGTTCCATGTGTCGATTTTGTTATGCTTGAGCCAGGGTTTTAAGTGTACCCGTCACGCAGATGGCGTTCATTGCACTTGTTAGGTAGATTTTCATTTCCCCACTTGATTACTGCTGAGTTTTACTTCCCTCTGTGCACAATATATATTCATTAGTTAGTTCTAATTTCATAGTGAATACATGTGAAATGTGAATACATTGTTTTTCTTCTTCTTTTTTTTTTTGCAGTTTTGGCAGGGGCTGGGTTTGAACTCGCCACCTCTGGCGTATGGGGCCGGTGACTCCTTTGAGCCACAGGCGCCGCCCGACATTTGTTTTTTTCTGTTGATTAGGTACTTCACTTAGGGTGATGGTCTCCAGGAATATCCAAATTGTTGCAAAAGCCTTAATCCACCCTTCTTCATGGTTGCATAGTTTTCCACAGTATACCTCTATTTTATTAATCCACTCATGAATTGATGGACGCTTAGGTTGATTTGACATCTTTGCATCTTGTGAATTGTGAATTCACAATTGCAATTCACAACTTGCAATCTTGTGAATTGTGCTGCAGTAAACATTTGCATGCAGGTGTCTTTTTGATAAAGTGACTTCTTTTCCTTTGGGGTAATATCTAGTAGTAAGATTGGTGGATCAAATGGTAGGTCTACTTTTTAGTTCTTTGAGGAATCTCCATATTATTTTCCACAGAGGCTGTACTAATCTGCAGTCCCGCCGACCATTATAAGTGTTTCTTTCCCTCTGCATCCATGCCAACATTTATTATTTTTGGACCTTTAATAAAATCTAATTGGGGTAAGATGATATCTCACAGTGTTTTTAATTTGCATTTCCCTGATGATTAGTGATGGTGAGCATTTTTAAAATTGACCATTTGTCTGTCTTCTTTCAGAAAGCCTCTGTTCATGTCCTTTGCCCACTTTTTTAATGGGGTTGGTTGTTTCTTGCTTATTTGCTTCCTTTTTTGGGGGCAAATTCTGATTATTAGCCTTTTATCAGACGTATAGCTTGTAAATATATTCTCACACTCTGTACATTGTCTCTTTGCTCTGTTGATTATTTCCTTAGTTGTGTAGAAGTTTTTAATTTAATAAAGTCCTGTTGTCCCATTTATTTATTTTTATTGCTGCAGTGATTGCCATTGGGGTCTTCTTCATAAATTCTTTGCCTAGGCCAATTTCTGGAAGAGGTTTTTCAACATGTTCTTCTAGAGTTCCTATGGTTTCATTCCTTATATTTAAGTCTTTTATCCATCTTGAATTAATTTTCATGAGTAGTGGGAGATATGGATCCTATTTCATTCTTCTGCATGTGACTATCCAATTTTCTCAGCACCATTTATTGGATAGGGCTTCTTTCCCCCAGTGTATATTGTTGTCTGCTTTGGCAAAGATTAATTGTCTGTGTGTGGATGGTTTTGTATCTGGATTCTCTGTTATGTTCCATTGGTCTGTCTCTGCTTTTGTGCTGGTATCAGGCTTTGTTTTGGTTATTATAGGCTTGTAGTATAGTTTGAAGTCTGGTAATGTGATGCCTCCAGCTTTGTTTTGCTTAGCTTAAAGATTCCTTTAGCTATTCAGGTGCTTTTCTGGTTCCAAACAAAGCATAGACTTATTTTTGCTAGGTCTGTGAACTGCAACATTGGTATTTTGATGGAGATTGCATCGAACATGTAAATAAGTTTGGGTAGTATGTTTACCCACATTTTAAGATCACCTTTTTTGATTTCCCTGATCAACTTTCTTCTAAGATGTTTATGGAGTAGACAGCAAAGAGTTCTGAAATTAAAAATTGATCTACAGATTAACAGTGAGCATTAGAGACATTCTATATCAATCACCATTCTGACCATATATTTTCATTTTTCATAGCCATCTCGTGGTGTATTTGAAGAAATGAAGTATTTGGAACTTATGATTGTTAATGATCACAAAACGGTAAGAATATAGAGTCAGTGGGTTTTAGACCCAATAGTCTACTTAAGAAAGAATACATTTCATTTTACATTTAATCATTATTTGTTACTTATTGAATCCGATATATTTAGAGATAATAAATCCATTGATTTATTTGTTGGTGTTTGGAGACACTGGGTTTTATAAAATTTTCATAACTCTAAACTTTCCCTGTGTTTAATAAATATTTGTAATTAATGGTTTTAGCTATTTGGCATCTTGTACTTATCTTCCCTTAAAATTCTTATTCTGCACCTTTCTTTATCTATGTAGTTTGGCCACTGCTGTCTAATTTTATTATGCGCCTTTGTTCTGCCAATATGTTATTTTTTTCTTACTGATTATTATGATTTGTGGTAGATGCAATTATAGGAGACTCTTTATTTAAAGAGTCTATCTTTAACTGATGATTTATCTTCTTTAAATGTTAGAAAGATGAATAATCTCATGTTACTTTTGTGGAAGTAAAATGTGATTGAATATGTCATTTCAGTAACACTTAAAAGAAAATGAAAAACAATCATTGCTCCCCACTGGCCTTTCTTGAAGATAAAGTAGAAACTCTGTTAATTATACTCTACTTAATATATCTATTATAAAATGTCTTGACTGAAGCTCACAAGAGTCTTGGTCAGTGGGTTACATGCTAATATACGTACTACTAATGGTATACTGGTAAATTTTAGCACTTAGCTCTCTTGATTTATCATTTTTGCTGATATCCATGATGTAAATATCCCCATTATACTTGATTTCAAGCTATCAAGTGAGATCGTCACATGAGGATGAGGAAAAGAAGTGGCCAGTTGGCTCTGGTGAGCTGGTGAGAGGTGGTACCAGCAACCATTGCCACCCTCTTCAGACTGTTTAGGCTGTTGTCACTTTTGTTGTAGTTACATAATTGAATTTTAAAAATTGCAGATAAGACAAAGGGTAATTGTTTTTAATGAAAACAAAGTTACATTTCTAGAAAAACCTTGGGAAAAAAATTAAGATTGCCTTGCAAATATCTTTAAGTCCTTGTTTTCCTTTAATTAAACCAAAATTAGATTAGTAGACTATAAGGCTGTGTTTCATGCTGAAGTGACTGTGTGAAATTCTGATCCGCAGACCCATACTCATACATTTTAAAAAATGGTGACTTATTTACCATAATATATTAATTAATATATTAATTTATATTAAACTTTTTAGTTTCTACCTTAATGGATGTTTCTGAGTGACAATCAGTTCAATTATGTTGCATATAAAGTTTTTTAATACAACGCCTCTTACATTACATGAAGATTTATTTTCTGTACCAGTAGTTCTTAAAGGCATGGCTTGAAATACATTAGTAAGAAGCAGATTTTATTTTATCGTAATTACATACAATTTGGGAGAGGTCTTTCCTGGTGGGAAGGAGAACCAAATGTGTAGGCAACCATTATAGACAATGAAGGCGAAAATATGAGTTCCTAAAGAAAACTAATTTGCTTAAAACCCAAATATAATTTTTACATCTGAATTATTTTTGCTGATTGAAAAATTGAGATTTTGTTTTCAAGCTTATTCCAAGTCCTAAGCATTGTGGCAGGCTGCAAAGTTAGGGCTTTTGAAGCCTCACGTTTTCCAACATCCATTAGATAAATACTTTTAAAGTAATGGAAATGATAATTAAGATGCAAACACAGTCTGCAGATGTACAAAGTGCATTCCCAAATGGGTGGTAATTGATAAAATCAGTACTCAAACCATTACTTGCATTTCTAAATCTCTTGTTCCACTATGCTGTTAATATATCAGGAAGGTACATGAAGCATTCATTCAGAGAGCACATTACAGGTAACTGTGCAAGATAGAGAACTTGATAATTTTTTTTAAACATCATATATTTGAATTTTTTTAACCCTTTAAATGGTAGACATTCAAATAATCTTGTCTCTATTTTATGAATAATAAAATAGCATCCTTCTTAAAATATTGTCTTATATGTGGAAAATTTCTGCACAGAATATTATACATTTTATAATAAAGTTACCTTATTCAGGCTATCAAAATCTTTCACTGGTAAATGTTGGTAGTTGTATTATTATTCTAAAAATGCATGAGAAGTAGTCATGATATATTCATCTGCTTTTAAAAGCAGAAAAAAAGAACCATAATTTGTACTGATACATTTGAAGGAAATACTTGTTAAGAAAGAAAAAAAATTGAAAGCTTTTGTTTTGGGGTGGAAATAATGTCTAAAATAGAAAGAAATTATCTAAGACGATTTCTACTATTTAAAGATCTATTATTTCTTTTCTGATAGAACTAACTATATTCTCTTTGTTTGAAGACCAGGTTACGTTCTAGTCTATAACATTCCCAAATATATATCTCATTCTGTAAGAGTTGTTTTTTCTTTTGACAGTTGAGAAAATTCCTTTTTGGGGGTATGCTTTAAATGAGGTAAAGATAAGTTTTGAATTCGATTGACACAAACAAGTATAAACCGGAACTTGGATCAAAGTACTTAAATTCACGTTTGAAAGTCAAACTGAACTAGAATAACTATCACGTTCGTTTTTGAAGATTTGCTTTCGGCTTTGGAATAATTGTCCCACTGAGAGTAATCATCTTAATATCTTTAAACCATATGGTTCAGCATAGTCATTTTTGATAACTGTTACCTTTGGGTTGAAAATCAAATTCTAATCTTAATTTTTTTTCAAAAGGCAAATTTCTTATGGATCGCATTTGTTCAGGAAGGAAAAGCAAATTTTCCAGCTTAATTGTAAATTGTTTTTAATGATCGGAAAAAATGTAAAAGTAAGTTTTATCATAAATGGAGATTGCATGTTTTTCTTTGTATACAACATTAGTTCTCATTCATGCAGAAATAGAAACATTCTGCCTACATTTGCATTCAAGCTTACCCCTTTAATTCAGAGTAGCCTATTACTGGTCATCTGAAAAAAATGCAGATATCTTATTTTAAATAGGCATTGCATTATTAGTGGCTTTCAATTAGGAAAGAAAAATCCCTTAATTTGATGGAAAGCATCTTAGTACCTGGCTGGCAGAACCTCATTTGCAAGCCAATTATATCCTTGATAAGAGTCTGCAAACATTTCTTTGAGCCATTTAAACCAAAAAATAAATAGTAAAAACCTTATTCTAATAGAAAATTGGTTGAGATATTTTAAAGTACATGAAAAACGAATGTTTTGCTTACATTTTTCTTACGTTAAGTTTGAGTCAGTAAGACTAAATATGTGATTATTATTCAGAGTTTTTCAACTTGAACCTCATTGGTTTTTCCTTACTTAAAACCCACCACTTTTTAATTTTTTAATTGACAGGTAATGTGTACCTATTCATGCCATTCATAGAGATGTCGCAATAAATACAATGTATAGTGATCATCAGATAAAGGTCATTAGCATATCATCCTCTCAAACATTACCATTTCTTTGTGTTGTGAACATTGAATATCCTTCTCACTACTTGACTGTTACTGTTAATTACAGTCATCCAGCAGTGCTATGGTACACTAGAACTTAGTCCTCCTATCTAGCTGTAACTTTATATCCTTTTACAAATCATTTCTTCTTCCTCCCTTCTCCCTACCCTTCCTAGTCTCCAGTATTCTCTGTTATACTTTTTAGTTCTATGAAGTCAATTTTTCTTTCTTTTTTTGACCGGGTCTGGGTTTGAACCCACCACCTCCGGCATATGGAGCCAGCGCCCTACTCCTTTGAGCTACAGACGCTGCCCTCAGTTTTTCTTTTTTATGAGAAAGAAAAAACGTAGTGTTTAATTTTCTGTTGATAGCTTATTTCACTTAACATAATGTCTTCCAGTCCCATCCTTATTGCCACATATGACAGGATTTCTTTCTTTTTTATGGTTTAATAATATTCCATTGTGTATGTATGCCACACTTTCGTTATCTCTTTATCTGTTCTTGTGCACCTAGGAAGATTCCATCTCTTAATATTGTGTTGCAGCGAACATGGGGGTGCTGGTGTCTGTACTAGTTTACATTTCCACTAAGAGCATGTGAGAGTTCCCTTTTCTCTGCATCCCACCAGGCATTTGCAATTTTTTGCATTTTTGGTAATAATCATCCTAACTAGGGTGAGATGATGACTCATTAATAAAAATCACCACATTTTTATATATACCTAACAAATTATGAATTCTCATTAATAATCATGATTTTTAGGAATGTACATAAATCATTTAATAAGAATTGCTAAATGCAACAAATTTGTCTCCTCCCTCAATCCAGAGTAGACTTTTAATTCCAGCTGAGTAATCATGGATACGTTATTTGGGGATAATAAAATTCATGTCATAGAGTTATGAGGAGTGAATATTTGTCATGGGAGATATATATATATATATATTTTTTTGAGACAGAGTCTTGCTCTGTTGCCTGGGCTAGAGTGCCGTGGTCTCAACCTACCTCATAGCAACCTCAAACTCCTGGGGTCAAGAAATCTTCCTGCTTCAGCCTCTTGAGTAGCTGGGGCTTGTAGTGCCACCACACCTGGTTAATGTTTCTATTTTTTTTAGACATGGAGTTTTGCTCTTGCTCAGGCTGGCCTCGAACTCCTCAGCTCAAGCACTCCTCCCCCCTTGGCCTCCCAAAGTGCTAGGATTACAAGGATGACCCACCACCCCAGCTGAAACATATATCATAGTTCCTAATATATCTTAGCTGCTCAGTGAAAGGGACTTCACGTTAACCAATTTAGTGGCCACTGTTCTGTCCTTTTCTTACTCTTTCAACAATGTTGGATACCATTGACTACTTTCTTTTTTGAAATATTTTCTTTATCTCTCAGCTTCTGTGACAACATCTCTTTCACTTCACTGGCTATTTTGTGTAAGTCTTTTAGGTCTGACCTCTAGATTATGGGAGTGTCCTATGGCTTGGGTCAGGGCTCTTTTCTTTCTGTACTCTCTCCCTAAGTGACAGCTTCCAGTCTCAAGTCTTTAGATAGTTAACTCGACTGTGAATTCATTACTCTCTGCTTTATGCCTCTAGCCTTCTGTGCTCTAAACACATATATCATCTGTCTTCTTGACAACTTTACTTCAATACTGGCTTGGATAGGCACCTCACAATTTGACATTTCTAAATCAGAATTCTTAGTTCTGAACTTCTCTTCCCCTAGTCTTTCTCACTATTTTAAATGGCACCGCCATCCCCCATCTATTTTATTCTTCCCTTTCCTCACCTTCCATATCCTCTTCATCAGCAAGTCTTGGAACTCTACCCCTGTATTTCTTGAATCCACTCACTTCTCTCTACAGTCATCCAGCCTCTGTTACCTCTTACCTGGACTTCTGCAAGAGTTTCCAACACACATCTCTGCTTCCATTCTGGACGCTCTCTAATTCACTCACCATACAGCAGGCAGAATCATCTTTCCAAAAAGAAAGTCTAAAGCTTGAAAATTACAAACAAGAAATAAATGAAAGACATCCCATTTTGGTAGACTTTAAAAAGGCTTCCTTTTATTTTTTTAAACTCGGATATTGTGTTTTCTATGATTATACTATAAAGAAAAGTCTCAAAAAACCACAAAGTAATATTCAGAAGCAAAATTCATCTTAATAGGTGACAAATTAGAGTCGGCATCAGCTAATATGTTCCCTTCTTTTTCAGTCTACAAGTCAGTGGTTTTTAGTACCTTCACACTGTCATACAATTGTTACCTCCATCTATACCAAAACATTTTAATCCCCCCGTAGGAACATCTTCTTTTTAATTAAATGAGCTGTGTACATTAATGCAGTCATGGGGTACAGTGTGGTGTTTTCATATACAATTTGAAATATTTTCATCAAACTGGTTAACATAGCCTTCATGTCATTTTCTTAGTTATTGTGTTAAGACATTTATGTTCTACTTTTAGAAAGATTCAGTTGTACCCTTGTAAGATAAACCATAGAGGTGATCCCTCCAATCACCCTCCCTCCCCCCTCCCCATATTCTTAGCCCCCGAAGGAACTTAATGTTGACACTTTTGTTTTTACTCTTACAGGTATCTTTGAGGTTTTTCAGCTTGTGGAATTTTGCTAGGCAACTTAACATGCTGAGCTATGTATAGAAACTTCTTTATGCTACGTTTACAAAACCTGGTGAAACGCTTGAAAATTTTTAGATTAATACAACGTTTTATGACCCAGTTACATGCCTATATGAAAATTTACTTTAAAAGTACTCATAAAGATAGTTTGGGTTAGATTATGATGCACAATGTTTGCAATAATACGAACAGTAACAGTAATGCTATACCAGAGGTTGTAAATTAATGAACACTGGTGATAGCACAATATTATCAATTTATTGCATTTTTATAATCTGTCATCAATATTCTCAGTATAAAAGGTAAACATCAGAGATGTAGGCATTGAGACATATATTCTTTGTTTAAAAAAACATAGTCACAGAGTAGAGAGAGAATGAAATGGAGAGGGTCAGACAAATTTATAGGGTGAAGGTGGACAAAGAAGAAAAAGAGAATATCATGATTTTCCAACGTAGAGTATTTTTAATCTTCATGAAAGATGCATTATTTTAATAATTAAAATTGAAAACAAAGTTCAAAGATTTGTGGTGCAAATCGGAGTCAGTAGTTTTAAGTATGTTCTTATTTTTCCTGAGTTGTAAAAGTAACGATAGCCTCATGGACCAGTAGAGGGCATAATCTTCCTATGGTAGACTTCAGATGTCCTCTTGAAGACATTATTGAGCAAAGTATACTGTTCCTTGCTAAAAACGTGGCTTTCCAGATGTTGTTCTAGAAGTATTCTATTAATTTACTTTTATGCATTTTGTTAAATAATTGTAAACAACCATCAACTATCAGCATACTTCATATTTACTTGTATCCTCTTTGTCAAAAGCAAAAGGCTTAACTTAGCAGGGGCATTCTTCCCAAGGGATAGACTAAGTGCATAACGAACACTTTCCATCTTATGGATAGTATCTAGTGTGCTGCCTAAGAAAGTTTCCTGATGGCCTTGAGTTTAACATGAAGGCAGTGTCCAGTTGGGACTACACGTTTTTTGGTGGAAGCTTTTGGTATAAGCTGTGAAAACAAAAGACATTAAGATGAAATTTAAAACTTAACTTCTCAACTGTAAAGCTTCTCACATGGATTTCTATAGGCCCTTTCCATGACTCAGGACATCGTGGGTGTTTTGGATAGTCTGAATTTTGCTGCCTAACAAAGAAATAAGTTAAGAACACCACCACATCCAATATAGCACAAAGTAAATGCTACTAAATTCTATATTTTTTGATCCTCATTATCTACTCTTGCTGTGAGATTTCGGCTTTTACAGAAGTTTGAAATTTACCATTGAATTATGATTTGGCAGTGACTGGCATATCTTTTTACCCCCTACCACCCAGTATAAGAAGCATCGCTCTTCTCCTGCGCATACCAACAACTTTGCAAAGTCTGTGGTCAACCTTGTGGATTCCGTAAGTATCCCAGTTTTCCTGAACCTGTTTTTACCAAGATGGAATGGTTTATATCTCTCTCTTATTTGCTTGCTTGTTACTTTAATTATTTCTGAGACAAAAGTAAAGATGTGATCCTTAAGCTCATCTGGCTAAGAAATGATAGGGTGATCTGCTTCACAAAGGGTAGTGCTCTCAGAGTTTTAGAGGACTGTTGCTTTATCCTCAGAATCCTAAAAATGCATTAATGTTGCTTCTAAGTGAGATGGAGACTTTATTATCACCAGAGTCTATGGGGGACAAAACAATGGAAAATTTGCTAGAAAAAGAGTAGACATTATACTTGGTAAGCGAGACTTGGTTAATAACCAGTTGATATGTTTAAAAATTTTATGTTGTTAGCAGAGAAGAACTAATAGACTGAGGCAGAATATGTTTAGAGAATATAGATAATATACAATTTTTTTTTTAATGACACAAATTCAAGTTCTTAGTTTTCCCATTAGTGAAGTGTTTCAGACTTTATTGCTAGTTGACAAAATTATGTAGTTTATCAGTCAATCCCAAGTGAAAACTAATTTGAGACAATAAAATATGTATTTCCTTTCAAAGACTTCTAAATATGCAAATCATCAATATTAATGTCCCCCCCATTTTGTAAGTTACAGAGAATGGTGGTTAAGATTTTCATCCTTTTTCATGCCTTAGGTAGGAACTCCATAATATGAATAAATGAAACAATTTAGTCATAAATTAAATATTATAGCATACTACTTTATATATTCTAAAGTGCTGTTTTGTTCGGCTAAATATATTTTTATGTGGTATTTATTATATATTCTGTCTTAAGGGGAATAGAATCTTTTTATAAATTTCCAAACATTTAAATGATATTTATTTACCCCAAAGGAACATTTTCTTTCCTGCCTTTTAAAAAAAGTCCAACAACCTGTGATCACGTAAATATTCATAATGTATGTTATGTGCTTCGTGGGCGCAACTGAACGAAGTGTAATATGAGTGGATATGCATAGATTACATTGTATGGAGTTGGGACTAAACCCTCTGAGACCTGGTTTATACCTGGCTTATTAATTTTTTTAAATTTCAGCTCTCATCAGTTTTCTCAGAGGAAAACTATAGGTGAATATGGAAAAAAGTATCTTCAACACGTCTTTTTCCCTCCAAAAGCTATTTTCTTGGCGGCATCTCTTTATTAGTCATTTCGGCATGTTTAAATAGAATCACATCTTGCAAAGTGCAAATTTTATTTTGGGTTACCCTATAGGGTTCTGAAGCTGACCATTAATTTTAGAAGACTTACCTTGCTTTTGTTGTGAAGTCATCATAGCTTCAATCTGATTTAGGCATAATGACATTCTCCCTCAGTGCATTTAGAGATCAGCCATTGTTTTCTTAATTAGCTTGAAAATAGGACAAAATGATAGCATTATTTGAAGTTGCTAAATTGTGTGAATTATTTAGCTACTGGGCCCAAAAATAAAGAAAGACCACAAAAGGTGACAATTTAAATATTTTGAGTGATCTCACCCTGTGGCAAGGGTAAGATGAATGAGTATAAATCTACTCTTTTTTGGCCTGGGATCCGTAATTCTCTCTCTTTCTGTCTTTCTCTCAATGTTGTTTTACGTTCCACATAACTTGACCTTGAAAGGCAAGCCAGCCAGATTGTTGAGTGCTTGTCTGAAGGTTTAGTGGCCTGTTCCAATACTGCAGGAATAAAATGGTTACTTAGAGCCAGTGTGTGAGGCTCTAAACTGTTACTCCCCATGAGGTCTGGAAGGGTGATTGCTCCGAGCCCTGTTTTCAATTTATGTCCTGACTTAAGCTTCCCTACTGTCTATCCTTTAGTGAGATGCCAGGTCCCTCAGTGTGTTGGTCTGTGATTGAAATAACATTATAGGAGAGTTGGGGACGTGAGACAGAATTGTGGTGTTCTTTTTTTCTGCTCTTGGAAAAGAGAAAGAAAGAGAAGATTCTCTGTGATGAGCTAATTCTGTGACCGTGTTCTCCTCTCACCTCCCCCTTCCTGTCCTTCCACTGACTCTGACTCACTGAACGTGCATGTTTGACCCAGTGTTTTCCTCCTGCACCTGTCCTGTTGTATACCCTCAGATTTACAAGGAGCAGCTCAACACCAGGGTCGTCCTGGTGGCTGTGGAGACCTGGACTGAGAAGGATCATATTGACATCACCACCAACCCTGTGCAGATGCTCCATGAGTTCTCCAAATACCGGCAACGCATCAAGCAGCATGCCGACGCTGTGCACCTCATCTCGTATGTACCCGCTTAAGCTCCAGTTGCAGTCTTTGGTTTAACATTTATCTTTACCCCTTTATTGTGTCAGTAAGTTAAAAATCAGAAAATAGTGAGTCGAACAGTATTGTTGTTGATTGCCCTGTTCTATAAGAAGACAGAGACAGGATGTCCAGTGCTGGGATGCTGGTGATTCTGTGGCTATTAGATTTCCCTTTAGAGCACATGCATAACTTCCATCTTCAGGGTCAACTCACCATCCGAGAAGGTTGCTGGTGCTCCAGTCTTCATGACAGGCTACAAGAATGATAGGCAGGGAGAAGGGTGCTCCTTTTAGCCAAGCCAGTTTCTGTAAAGTGGATTTCCTGTAAGCTTACACACATCAGTTTTATCAGCATCATATAGTGTAGTTACCTGCACATACTTAGCTGCAAGAGAGGCTAGAAAATATAATTTTTTTAGATGAACCATTGAATGAAATTAAGTTTCAATCACTAAGGATGAAGGGTTCCATATTTTCTTTTTATTAATATAATTTGTTCATAATTACATTTCTATACTAAGTTGTTCCCTTTCCCATTCATGGCAAAGCTCTTTTCCAGACAATTCTTCAGGGTTCTGTCCTGGAATCAAACTAACCAAAGTATTCTTTTTTTTCCTTCTACTTTTAACTTTTACTTTCTTTCAGTCTTTAATCAACAACTTACAATAATCAGCAACTACTGGATTACAGTTATACAGCAACTACTATATAACTACTGGATATTCTCTATTAGGAGAAAGTCAAGGGCTGTGGTCTGTTTATTTTTGTGTTTTCAAATCCTATGCCAGAACATGATGCTTAGTAGCTACTCAATTAATGTTTGCTCACCCAAAATTATTTAATATCACATCAGTTGAAAGGTAATTCTGACAACATCAAATGAAAGGTATTTCAAATGCAGTTTTTGATTTCTTGGAAGAGGATCGTTCTGGAGTGTTCAGTGTAGGAGAGTAGGTATATTTGGGGAGTGTTTATTTGATGGTCACCACATTGGTCTTCTAATAGCACTTCTTTTTCTGAAGGCGGGTGACGTTCCACTACAAGAGAAGCAGTCTGAGTTACTTTGGAGGTGTTTGTTCTCGCACAAGAGGAGTTGGTGTGAATGAGGTAAATTTTATCATTTTCTTAAAGTAGAGCTTTATCTTGGCGTCTGTTCTCTTTCTTCCCTGTGGCCCACTTTACGCTTCTTCTCATGTGTGTTTAGGATGATGACATCGATTATGTAGCTTGAGTGGGTTATGTTGTTAGTAAGTAGAATCCCAGATGGTCCTTTGGATTCATAATGATGTCTTTGTTTATTATAACGATCGTTTTTCAGATTTATCAGGCAAATGCACGCTGAAGATTGGCCCAGATATTTTTAGGCTCTGTAGATAGGAGATTAAGTTTTTATAAGCTTATTAATCCTTCTTATATAACTTTTATTTTTAGTTATAAATGCTCTTCTGCCCATGTCAGATTTAACTCATTTAAATAAAGGGCTTATGATATTAATATTATATCTTTTCTTTTTCTCCCTTTGTATATTTTTTCACTTTTGTAACATCTACCTACCTGTCTATAGAATGAATTCAAACAAATAGTTCCTTAATTTCATTGCTTAAGTTTTAATACCTTCATTTGTATAAATGAAATTCTTAAGTGGCAGTAGCACCCAAGTATTTTTAAAATCTCATTATTTAAGTTTTATAATGAGATTTCCTTTATTTTTTATAAAGGAAATTCTTAGGTGGCAATAGCCCCCAAGAGCCTAACCAATTATATCTAAACCCTGGTCAATCTTGGCATCTATTATACTAGTTTATCCCAATAGCCATCACTTGCTGGTGACCTCACTTGACATATTAATAGTACATTGACATTATTCTTGGATTGGTATGAGTTAAATTGGAGCACAGCCTTTTGTAACTTATATTTCGTATTTCCGTGTGGGAGCTTCAAGTTCTGAGAGTTGCTACCTAGTAAGAAGGGACTTTCTGCTTCTTGGGCCCCGATGCGAAGAGGAAGTGAGAAGTTGTATGCTCCATCTTTAGATACTGTGAGGCTCTACTTAGGGAACTGAGATCATATGTGGTAACAAGAAATAATAACTAGCTTTGTGCACTCTCTCAAATGTTTCCCACACACTTCCAACTCTGAAAAACAGTATGGTCTTCCAATGGCAGTGGCACAAGTGTTATCGCAGAGCCTGGCTCAAAACCTTGGAATCCAATGGGAACCTTCTAGCAGAAAGCCAAGTATGTATATTGACCTTGTTTCTCACTTTCATGTGCCATTCTGTATAATGCATGTCCAGTCAATAAATCAATATTTTTCACTCAAGTCATTATAGTTTAATTGTAGTATAGCTCCTTCCTCTACAACAAGTTTACAAAAGGAGCAAGTGGAGATAATTCTTAATCTCTTTGGGTTGTAGAAATATTTCCCTTTCTAAATCCATAACATCATCCTTAGTTTCCCAGGGTGTGACTCAGCAATTTCTCACACTGCAGAGTGCTGGGATTGGGGGTGGGGAATAACACCCTCTGGTTTCTAACAGTTGAGTATAGACAAAAGATGCTAGAGGAGCCTCCATCACAATTGTCATGTTGCAATGGCATTGAGAAATAGCTTAGATCTAGAGTCAAAAACGAGTTCATATTTAAATTCTAGTCAAACACGTGCATCTAGTCACACTAGAAAAGTTGGAGAAGAAGGCTGCCCAGCAGGTAGACCCACCCCTAGAGTCTTTTAAACATGGAGACCAGTGGAAGAGGCTAGGATTCTCCACTAGTGGGTAGGTAGGTCCAAGAGGGAGTATAAACAGGGCCACAGATCCCAGCCAGTAAAAAACAAAGACTGGTAGATGTTAACTTTTTTCATTAATCATATGAGAAGCAGATGGAAAAATAGGTCTGATTTATATAGTGGACTAAGTGTCAAGGGCCCACAGTAATTTTAGGGGCCCATGAAAATTCTTAATTGCTTTTAAAATCAGATTAAAAGCAAAGCTGGATTATATTCCTCTTTATGCCAACAGAGTAGTAAAATATACATTTTTCACATATTTTTATAGTTGAATACCTTCAGCCCACATAAGTGTGATCCTGTGGAAAGAGAGACCAGTATGTTTACTCATATTATTTATTTAACTAGAAATTAAGTGGAAGTCCCTCTGTGAAAATGTCAGGCCTCCCTTTCTATCTCAGCCTTGCTAAAGAAGAAAAGGACAAAATTGACCTTAATATCACCCTGCATTTTATACTTTTTTGTCATTAATGCAGAGTATTATAAAAAAATTGAAATAAAATGTGTATCAAAAGACTTCTTGATCCCTTTTAAGGGTATATGAGGTCTTTGAGTAACGTGGCTATCACAAGTGTCTGCTGGCATTTTACAAATCACCAAGTCTTTCATTTGTTATCTGGCTGAGAGTATTTGGTTTCCCAAAGAAACACCCAGTTCACACTAAAGGAGGTTTAGAGTTTCAACAACTGGCGCAGATGCCTTAAAATCAGAAAGGAGTGTGACTAGTTTACATGCTTGATTGGAAATCCTGGGACCTGGAAGAGAGATGGGTGAGAGAGGTTACTGAGTTGGATGGTGGAGTGGGGTGAGAAACAGAATTCCTTCCTAATGCCTGCTGTAGTTTCTTCCCTCTTAAAATTCTTTATTCCTTTGTGAATTGTTTGTTTAGGTAGCTATTTCATGGGTTATAAAGTTCATTTTAAAAGAGCAAAGAGAGAGAAGGAGGAAGGGGCGTGGGGATCATGATGTGGCACACCTTTCGGGGGCAGGACACAATTATAAGAGGGACTTTACCTGACAAATGCAATCAGTGGAACCTGGTTCTTTGTACCCTCAGTGAATCCCCAACAATAAAAAAAAAAAAAAAAGTCACGATGTTAAGCCATCTTTAAAAAGAAATTCACTTGAAAGTCTTTTTTAAAAAATATATCAGTGATAGAAAAGAGAATAGGAAAAAATGAATTAAAAGAGCTCATCACAGTATCAATGTCGGACTCCCGTATTTAAATTAGGTCTATGATTCTTACTTGAGTGTCTACACTTCTGTTTTAGATTGCTCTCTTTTACTAAATGTTTTAGCATAGTGTTCTTCAAGTCCTTGGCTGATTGTCACTTTGACCCTAGCAAATTGAGATCTTTTCATTAACTTACGATATGCTCTGTTAGAAAACTTCAGTGGTGGCTTGGCACCTGTAGCACAGTGGTTACAGTGCTGGCCGCATATACCCAGGCTGGCAGGTTCGAACCCAGCCTGGGGCTGTTGAACAACTATGACAACTGCTAAAAGAAAGTAGCGGGGGGCGGTGCCTATGGCTCAAAGGAGTAGGGCGCCAGCCCCATATGCCAGAGGTGGTGGGTTCAAACCCAGCCCTGGCCAAAAACTGCAAAAAAAAAAAAAAAAAGAAGAAAAGAAAGAAAGAAAAGAAAATAGCCAGGGCGTTGTGATGGGCACCTGTAGTCGCAGTTACTTGGGAGGCAGAGGCAAGAGAATCACTTAAGCTCAAGAGTGAGGTTGCTGTGAGCTGTGACACCACAGCACTGTACCAAGGGTGACATAGTGAGACTCTGTCTCAAAAATAAAAGAAAACTTCAATGACGATTAGTCGTGTTTGTGTATCAGAGAGCTTTACAAGGCATGGAGAGCTCACAGACACACCATCTTGTGTGGACCCCGGAACCACTCTGGGAGATAGGCATAGAGACCTATTCCATTTTAGAGGTGGAAACCTGAGACCCGAGAAACATGAAGTCACTTGCTTCAAGTTCGGGGGAACTTGGCCTTGAACTCAGGCTTTCCAGTTCCCAGACGAGGGTGCTTTTCACTAAACACAGGAAATAGGAACCTAATTGAGGTGTAGGAGTTACAAAAATGAAGAGAGGCACAACTCTATTTCTTTCTTTTTTTTTTTTTTTATTGAATGGTAACTATGTACATTAATGCACTTCTGGGGTACAGTGTATTTCTTGTGAACTGTCTTTTTAGGAAGTGGCCTGTGCTTCTGAAAAAGATAAGGAAAGATTAAAAAAAATAAATTTTGTTCTATGAGACTTCACACACTGTACCTATCTGACATGGAATTGGTAATAAAGAATTATTGTAAGGAGGTGTAATGCAGATTAAAGATGTGACTTTTGTTGTTTCCTTTTTCTTCTATTGCTTTTATTGTTTCATCGGACTAGAATGTGACTGCACAGAATCCTGGGGTGGCTGCATCATGGAGGAAACAGGGTAAATTTTCATCATACATGGATTTGATCTATGCCTTTTACTAAAATTGCCGGGTATAATTAGAAACGCAATCTTGCAGGTACTAAGCTGAGTACAGTATAAATTCAGTAATGAATTATCTGATATTTTAAAACTGAAAGGGCTAATTTACTTCATATTTTAAGTTTTCATGTAAGGTTGGTGATAACAGTAAAATGTATTAACTACTTCTTATTAACTCTTAAAGGAAGGAAGCACATTATTTAGATGCATCTAAGTTTAGTAAAGGCATTAATTTTTTAGTACACTTAAAATAAAAGCTCGTTGTCTATCTGAAGCAGTCAGAGAAAATCAATTGAGTCATCAATTTACATTTTAAGGAACTCATAAATATCTGTGTTTAAAGTAATAAAGTTTTTACTCTACTGCTTATATAATCAATAAAGCTTTTTTGAAAAATTAAGACATTTATTATATCTAACTTAGGAAGTCTTTTAGTGACAGACATTTGAACATTCCATCACCTGTCTTCTTTTTTGTGTGTATACTTTGGGACCTAGAATTGCTGCCCCAGAACTGCTGGTCCCTCAGTGAACCTGTCTATAAACATTGCCCCTATTCCCAGGGGCAATGGGAGTCATTGCCCCCAGGCCCCACGGGAGCCACTGCCTCCAGACCCCTAAGCCATCACCCACTTACAGTAACAGGAGAGATGCCCTCTGGTCCTACTCCCATCCTCTGAGCCCTGGTTACTAGAGGCCTGGCCTCCTTGGACAGAGCCTAGCCTTATTCTTCCACCAGACCCTCCCAGGAGTCCAGCTCTGGGGAAGAAGAGGAGAGTCAGCAGAGGGTTTGCATAGCTGGCCATTCTGCATTAAAACACATTTCTAGAAATGTAGTTTAAACCCCAAACTCTTAGCTTTTATGCTCCCCCTACTATTGCTGTTAGTAATTTATGTTTGACACATTTATGTTACAAGTTACTATTTGTAATTTATGGTTGAACCAGGCTTTTGTGAGGACTGCTATGGGAAGGTGACACAATTTCTAACATTGGTTCTAAGGGGGATGTCTTCTAAACTCCCAATTTCTAAATGAGTTTTTAGATAGACTATGCATAGGATATAATAAAACTATTCAGAGTTAATATACATTTTCTTAAGTCTACATTTCTATATGGTTCTTATAAGAGAGCACTTTGAATAGCGGCAAGTTTTTCCTGATTCTGTAAACTATCCCCATACATCACAGTACATAAAACGATTGGATTACACCCCAGAAAATGTGGCCTGCTCACTCTCAAATCATGCACTATTACAAACATTCCCAAGGCATAGGTGTCTGTGATTCAGTTTAACCTTGACCATGTGCATGCCATTCTCCTGTGTACTGACATAGAGGTGGTAATACCCTATGTATATCACAGAGAGGCTCATTTTATATTCCTGCTAAATCGTGAATATTACTAGATAGTATTTGAAATTGAGAATAAAGAGCTATTATTCATGGGAGCTTACCCTAATTCTTGTATGTGTTACACTCTAAATAAATTTTTACTTGTATGTATACACACTAAAAATGTATGCACATACACATATGTGGTCTGACACATCCCTTTAGCATTTCCTTGCTTACCTGTGTTGCAGCAGTGTTGAAGCCTGCATCACATAGCTCTTAATAAATTGGCCCTCACAAATCTCTCTGCCAGCGTGAAACCTAGTAGGTTCATGAGCTTCCTTTATTCACGACAGAGACAAAAAGGTGCTTGCTTTTACTGAGACATAGCAAATCAAAATCACTGCACTTTAAAATACAGCCTAGATGAAAAGGTTTTGTAATGAGCTTTTCAAAAACTGTTTCAAGCTAGGTCACAAAAGGGCTTGACTGCTGAGGAAATTGTAACCTAGACCCCAAATCTGTGATTTTCCTTGATTTTCTATCTTTGCGAACTCTGCTACACACAATTATTTCGCAATTTGAACATAAGTGCCTTGTCAAAATTTGTGTATGTAGCTCCAGAGTGAACATTTTGTTCTAATCCAAAGGTTTTAATTTTCTTCTCTGATGATTGCTTTTGGTAAATTATTTACATAATTGATTCTTTATTTCTTCAGGGTATCCCATTCCCGAAAATTCTCAAAGTGCAGCATTTTGGAGTATAGAGACTTCTTACAGAGAGGGGGTGGAGCTTGCCTTTTCAACAGGCCAACAAAGGTTAGTGACTTACAAAGAATAATTAGGTCTCCAGTGTTTTACAGTGGAACAGGGCTGATTATCAGATACTTGTCTTGAAAAGTAGGTTTCTTGTCAATCAGATTAGTATTTAGTTATAAAAAGCTTTATCATGCTGAAGGCTCAGACTGGTTTAAATGAATGACAAAACTATATATTCAGTGTTCTGAGTGTTTTTCAGTGCCAGCTATATGCACTCCTTCAAAAAACAAATAATCTTTCTGTTAAAATATCTTTGAAATTTTCATATTAATTTATTTTACCCTGCTGCTAAGAAACAGTGGGTTAAATTAAGATAAAATATTACTTTAACTCATTTTGCTGACAAAAACCCCATTTTCTATTGATATTCTTTCTAGGGGCCTAACTAATTTCTTGACTTTTTATTTAATGGTCTGTTTTCCTGGGAAGGTGGCATTATTAGTATCAGCCAAGCAAAAAAATGGCCTAAGTATTTATGGATCTCATATGTATGTATTTATATTACATCGTATCTTTACCTAGAAAGGCTCATGTTGTCAAGCGGCATTTCATCAAGATTTGTATGTGCAGTGCAACAATCCCTTATCTACAAATCTTTAATTCAAAAAATTCTAAAAATTTTCAATGGTGTTTTTTATGCATTTGCAGAAAATACATTTGACAGCACAACTTTCCTAAACTGGAAATCTTTATTTATACCTCATAGTATAAATATTCATAAGTCTTACTGCAGAAATATTGCTGCATTTGGTTATAGGGTATAGTCAGGCCTCTGGGGACTATTCTTTTTTTTTGAGACAAAGTCTTACTCTGTTACCCAGGCTAGAGTGCCATGGCCTCAGCCTAGTTCACAGCACTCTCAAACTCTTGGGCTCAAGTGATCCTCTTGCCTCAGCCTCCTGAGTAGCTGGGACTATAGGCACCCACTACCACACCCAGATTTCTATTTTTTTTTGAGACAGAGTCTCATTTTGTCACCCTCCATAGAGTGCTGTGGTGTCACAGCTCACAGCAACCTCAAACTCTTGGGCTTAAGTGATTCTTTTGCCTCAGCCTCCCAAGTAGCTCGGACTACAGGCGCTTGCCATAACACCTGGCTATTTTTTTTGTTGTTGCATTTGTCATTGTTGTTTAGCTGGCCCAGGCTGGGTTCAAACCCACCAGCCTTGGTGTATGTGGCTGGCACCATAACCACTGTGCTATGGGTGCCAAGCCTAATTTTTCTACTTTTAGTAGAGATGAGGTCTTGTTCTTGCTCAGGCTGGTCTCAAAGTCCTGAGCTTAAGAGACCCTCCCACCTCAGCCTCTCAGAGACTAGGATTATAGGCATGAATCACCATGCCTGGCCTCCCTTGGGATTATTACATAGAACATGTTAAATGCATCATGATTTGGTGAAGCTAGAATTCTCAAACTCCCTGGCTGTAAAGCTTTCAGATAAGGGATTATAGACCTATAGTAGTGTATTTGGAAATGAAGCTACTCAAGAGGCAAAAGAGACAGGATTGATGCTAATTCGCAGATAGTATAGAAGTTCTAAAATGGCAAATTTCATATTTCCTTTTAAAATAGTACTTCACTACTGGAACATAGTTCACTGCTGTATAAAATGTTTAATACTCTGCAAATTGAGAGAGCAGTGATACCATATTAACCTTTTAAAAAAATCAGTGCCTAATGCGGATAACTGACAGAATAATTTATTCCTATACACCCATAATTAAGTGATACTGCTGCAGTCAGAAGATGGTAGTTTGATGTCTGACATCTGTGTAAAAATCTCAGGAAAGCGGAAAAAGAAACAGGACTTATAAAGTGACCTTGCCTCATTAAAATTGGCCGCCTGCCTTTCACGGCATTGATCTCAATGCAGCAGAAATCTGAAAGCTTCGAAGTGTTTAAAATAGGTGAAATAAGTGATATCGAACTAATACGAGCTGCTGGCATTTTTGAATTGCAGTATACAAGACTAATTGTCCCTACCTTGCAGCTTACCAGGCAATTATAAACATCACGCCTGAAGGAACAACTGTAACTTGTTTGCAAAGGTTAAGGCGTCTCGTACGATCCATCAATGGATTTCTGAAATTGCCTGTGAGTCAGAGGAAAATTATTCCAATAACTTGGAAACTAAATAACAATAATTATACATCTTTAATTCTAAAAGTTAGTTGATATAGAGTTATTTCTTGTTTTAAACTACCTACCACGGTGATTAGAAAACTTTACGGATTCCAGTAGATTAGTTCATGTGCATATTTCAAAGAACAGACTTCATCCCCAAGTGGTTTTAGTCAGGGAATGTATGTATATGCACATTTTATGTGTTATTTTTACATTATCTGCTTGCCTATTTTCTGTGCTTTGGGAATCTTTCCCACTGTCGTGTTTGTGACAGTGACCCATCTCAGGACGGAGGAAGAGTCCTTAGAATGGGAGATTGGGAGGCCGAGTCCAAAGTGGTTGGTTATGTTCTAGTCAGCACTTGTCTTTCCCACTTTCTCCTGCCTGCCATTCTGAATACCACAGAGGTCAGGACTATTGATTTTGCTCATTGGATGTTTTCATAGGAGAGTTCCACCGCATTGCCTGGAAACCTGTCTTCTTTCTCACCATAGTTTTACCTTCCTGGAAGTGGAAAGCGGATCATGTCTATTTCAGATGGACCCAGCAGAAGGCAGTGCTTCCTTGGGGGTGTGGTCAGTTGCTGGGGATGGAACCTGTTTCTCCCTCTCATGTTCAGACTCTTAAGTGTTTAGGCTGGGATGTGCTTCTCCAGTCTTCTTTTTTTTTTTTT